GCAAAGCTTTCAATCTCTGACCATTAAGAGTACTATTTTTGGGTTGGGCACAGTGGCTCAGGCCTGTAATCCTAGCACTCTGGGAGACCAAGGCAAGTGGACTGCCCTGAGCTCACAGGTTCAAGACCAGCCTGAGAGAGTGAGACCCCATCCCTAAAAATAGCCAGGTGTTGTGGCAGGCACCTGTAGTCCCAGCTACTCAGGAGGCTGAGGCAAGAGGATCGCTTGAGCCCAAGAGTTTGAGTTTGCTGTGAGCTATGATGCCACAGCACTCTGCCAAGGGCAACAAAGTGAAAGTCTGCCTCAGAAAAATAAAAAAGTACTAGTTTTTAAAGGCTTTTGTAAATATTCTTTATCAGATTAAGTAAGTTCCCTCCAGGTCCTAAGTTTGTTAAGAGTTTTTATCTCAAATTAATGCTGAAATTTTTCAAAGTTCTTCTCTGCATCAGTTGAAATTATCTTAGCGTTTTTCTCTTTCATTGTTCATAGCACTGATCTCAAGTGTTAAATGGAACCTTACATTTGTGAAATAAATGGGACTTGGTTTTATTTTATTTGCTAATATTCTATTTTTTATACAGTATAGACACTGTATCTTATTTATTACTTGATATAATTTGCTGATGAAACCATCTCCATCTTGTCCTTGAGTTTTATTTGTGGACTCAGTGTACTGATAGCTATGGGACTATTTAGATTTTCTAATTCTCATCGTATTTATTTTTGTAAGTTTTTTTTCTAGAATTTCTTCTATTTCAACTAAATGCTCAGGTTTATTACCATAAATTCATAATAATTTCTTTTTTATATTAGTAGGATATGATATCCCTGCTTTCATCTCTGTCTTCTCCCACGCTCAACCCAGTAATTCTTCACTGTTGGTTCTCTGACTCCTACAAGGTATATGTGGCTATGTGTGTCCAGATGTTCTTGTTGGGCTGCCTGGTCCACTATCACCAGAAGCCAAAGACCTTCAGAAGTACTTAAATTCCACAAACATCCACAGGCCCTGTTCCAAGTTAGAGCCATTTCCTCTCTTAAGAAGCATGGCAGCTGTTAGGAAAAACAGACATGTGCGTGGTCAAATCTAACACAGGGGAGAGACAACTTCTACAAGAAGACAGGTGCTATGTGCAAGGCCAGTGGACTGTAAGAAGTCTCTACTGCTCAAGCAGGAAGGAACCTCAGTGGTCCTCAAAAAGTGTGGTCTCTGGACCAAAAGCTTTGGCATCACCTGTGAGCCTGTTAAAAATACAAATGTCAGCCCTGATCCAAATCTACTGAATCAGAAACTCAGTTGGGGGATGGGGACAAGATGTGGTTCAATAACACCCCTAGGTAACCTAAATATACGCTAAAATTTGAAAACCATGAAGGAGTCCTCAGTTCTTTACTGCACATTAGATTCATCTGACATTTAAAATATAAATACAGAGATACCCCCCTCACCCTTTAACAAGTAAGTCGGTACTTCTAGGAACATCCCAGGTGATGCTAATATGTGCTCAGTGTGGAGATAACTGCTGTAGACCAAGAGTTCTCAATCTTGGCACAACTGACATTTTGAGACAGATGATGTGTTGTGGGGCTGCTCTGTACATTGTAGAATGTCTAGCGGCATCCCTGGCCTCTACTCACCAGATCCGTACAACACCCCTGTCTGGTCATACAACCTACGATATCTCCAAACACTGCCAAATGTCTAGTTGCCACAGACACCCACACACCTGGATCAAAGGGGGTGGCTGCAACAGGACTATGCAGTAAATAAATTGTGTGACCCTTATTCCTTCCCTTAGTTACCTCGGATGGAACAGGCAAGGAATGCAGTGGGAATAGAGCTTTTTAAAGGGATACTCTTAACATAGAACTCGAAATACCTCCCCATTTACAAATAGCAATTAGACCATGTTGTCTTCTCCTTCATCCCAAATTGTTGGCGTAGAAGCCCATTTAGAGCCATTAAGAGACCAGACCACCTATTTTAAGAAGCCAACCCACCTTGCTAGGTAGAACATGATCTGGTTGTTACGGGATAACGGGCAATTCAGTCAAACTCTCTGGGCCTCAGTTTACCTATGAATTAGGGGGAAAGCAATGCATTCCTTGGAGGATTACATGCAACTGTAACTATGTTAGTTATTCACCAAAAAAAAATCGTCTTTAGAATATTAAGAATGAAAAAAAAAAGAATATTAAGAATGGGTGAGATTGTATAATCTAGTCTCCTCAATTTTAAATTTAGAAGCTAGGGTGCAGAGAGGTTGACTGTTTTGCCAAAGATGACACAGTAGATTAATTATAAGACACAGAATATAAACCAAGTGCCCTGATAGCAGGTATGCTACTATTTCTTTTCTTTCCTGTAATAAATGTACAATCCATGGAGCTAATGCCAAAACTCAATTCTTGTTAAGTCCCATGACAGTATAACCTACCAGCAGTGTGGTGAGATGGAATGAGAACTAAGATGGTCTTGGTTCTGCCTGTGACTGGCTGCAGGCTCTGGGGACATGGCTGGACCTCTGTTCTGCATGTGGGGAGAGGGTCACAAAAATGTTGAATTAGTTGAGTTCTGAGGTCCATCTTGGATCTTGTTAAGTCCCATGACAGTATAACCTACCAGCAGTGTGGTGAGATGGAATGAGAACTAAGATGGTCTTGGTTCTGCCTGTGACTGGCTGCAGGCTCTGGGGAAATGGCTGGACCTCTGTTCTGCATGTGGGGAGAGGGTCACAAAAATGTTGAATTAGTTGAGTTCTGAGGTCCATCTTGGATCTAAAAAGCTATACCTATATTGAATTTGGGCCTTCTCTGCTTACCCAGAACAAAGAAGGAAAGGAGAAAAAATTATATTTATATACACACATAAACACATACCTCACACACACATATACCAACAATTTGATTATTGACAAAAACAATCAAGAAAAAGAATGTGGACTAGGCATGGTGGTTCATACCTATAATCCCAGTACTTTGGGAGGCCAACGAGGGTGGATTGATTGAGCTCTCAAGTTTGAGACCAGCCTGAGCAAAAGTTAAGACCCCCATCTCTAAAAAATAGCCCAGTATTGTGGTGGGCACCTGTATTCCCAGCTACTTGGAAGGCTGAGGCAAAAGAATAGCTTAAACCCAAGAGTTTGAGGTTGCTATGAGCTATGATGCCATGGCACTCTACCAAGGGTGACAAAATGAGACTCTGTCTCCAAAAAAAAATGAAGAAGAATGAGTAGCCCTTTGTGATTTCAAAGTGCTCAAACTTACTAGCTCAATGGATCTTTCTCATAATAGATAATCACTTGGAGGAATTTCACCTTGCAGCAGGGGTGATCTAAACTAATCGCCCTCTAAATATTCTTCAGCACTCAGGCCTTCAGGGGAGGGAGACAAAAGCTGAAACTAGAGACTTTTGGAGCATCTAATTGACCCTGATCTTACTTGAGGTCAACTCTGTGGTGAGGTTACTAAAACCTAGTTTAGTCTTGGACGGCATCGATAAGAATCAATATGATGTAAAGAAAGATGTACCGGCCAGGAATTAGGAGACTGTGTTTCATGTGAGCAATAGAGTAGCCTTGGCCCAAAATGCTTCCCTGAGTAAGGGGTTGGTAGAACCAGAATGTCTCTCAACATTCTTTTATCTCCATTGCAACAGCCCAGTAGACTGTGCTGTAGTGACAGGAATGTCCTACACTTGCATTCCTCAAAAAACACAGTAACCACTAGCCACATGTGGCCATTAAGCACTTGTGAGGTGGTTGTTGAAACTCCAGTTAATTTAAATGTGAATAGAGACATGTAGCTGGTGGCTGCCAGCTCAGTTTTATAGTGAATAAGACTACAGAATTGATACCTCTTTTGTTCTTATTGGTGGGACACACGCAAAGTACTTGTTATTTACTGTGGGCCTCAAACTTTAGGAAGTCTGTTGAGAAACTTGACCACATCAAGAGAAGAATGAATAGTACTAGGAAGGCCCTGGAAACTAGACCTTGAGAAGATGAGAACTAGAAGAATTTTTAAAAAGTGAAAAGACTAAAAATGTTTTCTGAAATAGTGGTTTACAGTTAACTATAAAAAGCAGGAAAAAAGCCAGTGGAGAGAATTTATTGAGAGAACAACTTCTGTCATATGGAAACCACCTTTCCAGTGAACAGAGACCCTCACTCGGCATTAGAACCCACTGCTCCTGCAGTGTGGGGGCTTGTCATGGGGCTGCAGCTAAGTACCACACGCTGGTGGCTTATACAACCTACATTTATTTTCTCACAATTCTGGACGCTGGAATTCTGAGATCAAGGTGTCACACAGCTGGCTTGACCAGCTTCTCCCTGCCCTCACATGGTCTCTGTGTGTGTGTGTGTGTGTGTGTGTGTGTGTGTGTGTGTCCTAATCTCTCCTTAGAGGAACATCGGTCTTCCTGGATGAGAACCCACCCTAATGATCTCATTTAGCCTCAGTCACCTCTTTAAGGTCCCTACATCCAAAAACAGTCACGTTCTGAGATGCTGGGGGATTAGGCCTTCAACATAGGAATTTTGAGGGGAGTAAATTCAGTCCAAAACACCTACCAATGGAGTTGCAAGGCAACGGCTCGACAGTCAGTTTCAAGGACATCTCAGAATGACTTTGTTCTCCATAGGGCACCACAGAAGACTGGTCCAGGCCCTTTTTAATTATGAGACTCTGGGACATGGGGAGGAGGGCAAAATGAATTCCCAGTAAGTAAGTGAAAGCTTTAGAAGGTAGCCATAATTTCTGCATTAAACTTTAACAGAAATGATGAGGGAAATGGGAGATCCAGGATTCAAGGCAGAACTAAGAATGACACTAACCAGCCCCTGAGATTAATCACAAGCAAATTTGTTGGAAGAGAAAACTTTCTTACTTTTACATGCCCTGGAGAATTGTTTTTCCTATTTTCACCAAATGTTCTCATGTTGTGCCTACAAGCCATGAGTCTACAAGCTTGAAGTGTTGTTGTTCCCTCCTTACAGGCATCACTCTTGGCCACAGATCTGACCATTACATGTGCATCAAGAATAAAGGGATCTGCCTGTACTCTGCCTGCCCACTTTACACCAAAATCATCGGCACCTGTTACGGCGGCAAGGCCAAGTGCTGCAGGTGAGCTGGAACGGCCAGGAGAAAGAACAAGGACGCCGAGCATACTATTTGTAACCATCATTTTAATAAAAGAAGACTTTTTTGGAGTACACTTCCTTTGGAGCAAAGTGAGTTTTGTGTCTCAATTAGAAAAAGTTAAGAAAGTAGAGCATTAGGGCATGGGGGGTGGAACATGAGACAGGCCAGACCCCAGTGGGTGCTGGGGACAGGGGAGTGATTCAAGGCTTGAATGGCCTTGTTTCCACTTTATTCCATCACCAAACCAGGACATGAGAAATGCAGAGAGGCCACACAAGAGCGAGGACACGTGATGAGGCAGGCAGACCATCAGATGGGCAAAGAATGGGGACTCAACAGTGACATGAAGTCACTGACTGTCCAAAAGGAACCTCAGTACATACAACTACAGGAGTAAGGGAGAAGTTCTCTGTTCAGTCATTAAACTTTGATGGCTTATTTGTTATCATGGCTAAAGTGCCTTAACTTTTAGATAAAGGCCCCACAAATAGTCTCTAAACCGGGACTGATAAAAGGTGAAATCCCCCACTGATAACTGTGGAGACCTAGGCAACAAGGGGGACAAACTGGAGTAAGAAATCAGGATCCCACACCGAGCTAGTTAGAGCTGGCAGGCCCCCATGCATTGGATTATATGACAGAACACCTGGAAAAATATCATAAAATGATAACGTAATACCAAAAAAGGATGGGAGGCTCAGCACCTGTAGCTCAAGCGGCTAAGGCGCCAGCCACATACACCAGAGCTGGCAGGTTCAAATCCAGGCCAGGCTGCAAAATAACAATGACAACTACAAGCAAAAAATAGCCAGGTGTTGTGGCAGGCACCTGTAGTCCCAGCTACTTGGGAGGCCGAGGCAAGAGAATCATTTAAGCCCAGGAGTTGGAGGTTGCCTTGAGCTGTGATGCCACAGCACTCTACCCAGGATGACAGCTTGAGGCTCTGTCTCAAAAAAAAAAAAAGAAAAGTACAGGAAAAAGTAGTTCAGTCATTAGGGTGCCAGCCACATGCACCAGAGCTGGTGGGTTCAAACCCAGCCCCAGCCTGCTAAACAAAAAATATAGCCAGGCATTTTGGAGGGTGCCTGTAGTCCCAGCTCCTAGAGAGGCTGAGGCAAGAGAATTGCTTGAGCCCAAGAATTTGAGGTTGCTGTGAACTATGACTCTATCACACGCTACAGAGGGCAACAAAGTGAGACTCAGTTTCAATTAAAAAAAAAAAAGGACAGAAAAAAATCTCCAGAGAGCATCTCAATAACAAATTATGCAGCAAGTATAAAAGAATCTCTTACTTTTCAACCTTTAGAATCAACCATAGACAAAGCACAAGAGTTTTTATGGTTACAGATCTCTGTGACCACTGCCGATCTTGCAGCAGATGGAAGGTAAGCAGGGAAGGAGAAACAGAGTACCAGCATAAATTGGTGAGCAGTCAGGGATTTTTTTTTTGTTTGTTTGAGACAGAAGCCTCAAGCTGTCCGCCTGGGTAGAGTGCCATGGCATCTCAGCTCACAGCAACCCTCCAACTCCTGGGCCCAAGCTAGTCTCCTGCCTCTGCATCCCAAGTAGCTGGGACCACAGGCACCCGCCACAACACCCGGCTATTTTTTGGTTGCAGCCGACATTGTTTTTTGGCGGGTCTGGGCTGGATTCGAACCTGCCACCTTAGGTGTATGTGGCTGGCGCCTTAGCCACTTGAGCCACAGGCGCCGAGCCGATCAGGGATGTTTTCTCAAGTTCTTGCATAAGAAAGGTATGTATAAGCATATTAGATAAAGGTATGAACAAACCCAATAAAAGAACTAAAAGTGATGACACACCTGTCAAAGTTTGGAAGTAAAGGGAAAGTGGATCGGGTAGGTTCTTAACACATTTGGGCTGCTGTAACAAAATTCTATGGACTAGGTATCTTTTTAGGCAAACCTTTATTTTCACCATCTGGAGGATCAGCTGTGCAAGTCTGTCTAGTGCGGGCCAGCTTCCTAGTTCATGGAGGGTGAGGGCACTCTCTGCACCTCTTATCAGGGCATTAATCCCACTCACAGGCCTCTGCCCCACAGCCCACTCATCTCTCAAAGTCCCCACCTCCAAATACCAGCATATTTGGGGATTAGGTTTCAATGGAAATGTTGGGAAAGACATGAAGATTTAGGTGGTATTGACTGAATTATCATCTTTCATAGAATAATAGATAGTCTCCAAATTGAGGGGAGTCTCACGGACCAAATATGGGACATTTTTTATAATTATGATGAATAATGATTGGAGCCCACCAAATAGATAAAAACCCATGAGTTCATGATGATCCTGAAAAAGCACTTTTTTTTATTAAATGATAGCTGTATACATTAATGCAAACATGGGGTACAGTGTAGTGTTTTCATATACAATATGAAATACTTTCATCAAGCTGGTTAACATAGACTTCATGTCATTTACTTAGTCATTGTGTCAAAACATTTATACTCTAGTTCTAGAAAAGTTCACTTGTACCTTTGTTAGACAGACCATATAGGTGATCTATCCAGTCACCCTCCCACCACCCAGCCACCCTTCTACTCTCCCTTTCCCCACCCCCTCCCCATATTTTTAGGTTAGAATTAAGTTGTAGCTTTCATTTGAGAGTTGTAAATTAGTTTCCTAATAGGGCTGTGTACATTGGATACTTTTTCTTCCATTCCTGTGATACTTTGCTAAGAAGAACATTTTCCAGTTCCATCCATGTAAACATGAAGGAGGTAAAGTCTCCATCCTTCTTTAGGGCTGCATAGTATTCCATGGTGTACATATACCACAATTTGT